CTGTAATCCCAGCAACTCAGGAGGCTGAGGCAGGAGGATAGAGAGTTTAAAGCCAGCCTCAGCAAAAGCCAGGCGCTAAGCAACTCAGTGAGACCCTGTCACAAAATAGGGCTGGGGAGGTGGCTCAGGAGTCAAGTTTAATCCCCAGTATCCCCCCGTATCCCCAAAAGAAGAGGTAGCTAGAACCTAGATCGTACAACCCCACAGATCTTGTAAATGAAGTTAGGACCTTGCTAAGTGCAATGGGGAACCAATGGAGAGGTTTGAGAAAGAGGTGATTTGTCTTTTAAATGGATCCCTATGGTTACTGTACGCAGAGTAGAACGGAAGGGCACACAAAGAACTGGGGGACTCACGTGTTGAGCCTGCTACACTAGACCAGGTCAGGACGATGGTGACATAACTGGGTGTCATAGTTTGGATGTGAGGTGTTCCCAAAAGCTCCTGTTAACGCAGGGCTTATCATAGGTCAAATAATATTATTTGATTGAGAGAGCTATAACCCAATCCCTTCTTCCTACCTTGAAGAGACTGACCTGATGGGATGGGAACTGAAGTAGGTCGTCACTGGGGATGTGTCCTGGAAGGGTGCATCTTCCCTGTGGCCCTTCCCCCCGGCCCCTCTGCTTCTGGGCCCCACCACGAGCTGAGCATCTCTCCTCCAGGGTCCCACCTCCTCTCTCCTTCTCTCTGCTTCCTGTCCGCCATGATGTTCTGCCTCAGCTTGGGCCCAGAGCCATGGCGTTGGCCATCTGTGGACTGAGAACCTCTGATCCCATGAGCCAAATTAAACTTTTCTTCCTCTGAGTTGTTCTTGTCAGGTATTTTGGTCACAGTGATGCAACCTACTGCTAACACACCAGAATTTTAGCAGTAGAGGGGTGGGAGGTAGGAGGATTCGGGACATTTTGAAAGTGGAGAGGTTAGAATTGGTGGCTTTCTTGGAGAATTCAGAGTACCTGATAGTGATGAAGGGCCCAGACTTAATCCTACCTCTTTCAACCCAGTTCCCTTGGATACATTACTTAACTTCCACACCTTGGGAACAAAATTTATCCATCTGTGAATAAAGAGTATCAGAAATCACCCTCATGGAATGGGATTGAGGAATAAATGAAATGATCAAGGGCATATCATAATACTTGGTGTTTATTAGATTCTTAATAAAAAGTGGATGGGACAATGGTGGTGGTGGTGAGGATAGATCCCCCAACTTTGGAAACTACAGACCAGTCTCCCTTTCCTGAACTCCTCTGTATCATCGGCTTGGCATTTGCTACGGGCTCTTTAACTTTTCACGTATTAAAATTTTAAGCTCCCCATAGGCATTCAGGTTACCCGAGGCTTCTTTGTAAACCAAGTTATTGTTTGTAGAGTAAACACCCAATAAATATTCATTAAAAGGAAGAGGGAATGAACATGTCCCTGCTTTGCATTTAGGCAGAACATAAATTCTTTTTATCAGAACAGAGCCACTTGAAATTTTTTTATTGGATCTGCTTTCCCTTCTGCTCGTGTGTAATAAGTGAATGATAATTGCCGGTGGTGTCATTCTATACTATTTGGGGAGTTCATAAATGTCTACTGGAAAAACTGCCACAGGCAGTTCACTCTCCTAGGTATCATCCCGACACGACTAAGCCACATAATTCCAGATTCGTGACTGTAACTCAGTCCCTGCAAAAGTCACTCTAATTGTTGACGTGAATAGATCTGGTGTTTTCCTCACCATGACACACATAAACCCAATAACCACAAAAACAGAAATCCGGGGGCCTCTGTACAGTGGGGGGTGGAAAGGTACAGTGACTCACCAGGCCACACAAGGCTCTCATAATTCCTTCATCGTACTCTGTCTCTTCTCCAGTGACAAAACCTTGTAGTGATTAATAACACACACCACACAGTAAATTCAGCAGCACTCACTCCTGGTGTCTTCCAAGAGTCCTTTAATGTTGCTACAGTAATTTAGAGGCCCACACCTTCCCTCACTCCGAGGCCAAGGGAATGCACCAGGATTAACCACTGTCATTGTCAACATCACCCTCACTAAGAAGCAGCCTGGGTTGAGTGTGGTTCTAGAAACATTGTGAGTATCCTCAGGGATGTTTCCTGAACTCTGTGCCTTGGTTTCCTCATCTGTCAGGTGGAAATGATCGTAATATTGCCTGCCTCACACATTCAGGATGAGGATTAAGTAGATCTGTATATGGAGATGGAGATGACCTACTCCTAGAACAGGAGCTGGCCCATGCTCAGTGCTCAAGGCATATTTGCTATAATTATCAGTTCACTGATCCAGTGAGAAGGACAGGAGTCAGTATGTCCTTCATTCTCAACCAAGTCTCTGACTTCAATCACAACATGCACAATATCAAAGGAATCAAGAGAGTGAAGAGAGAACCTACAGAAAGGGGGTGGAAATCCTTCCAGTTATTCTTCTGAAGGGGGATTCATATCCAGAATATACAAAGAACTCAAAAAACTCAGTGCTAGGAAAAGAAAAATGAACAAATGGGTCAAAGAACTAAATAGAAACTTCTCAAAAGAGGAAATACAAATGGCCAGCAAATACATGAAAAAAATGTTCAGCCTCTCTAGCAATCAGAGAAAGGCAAATCAAAACTACACTAAGATTTCATCTCGCCCCCATCAGAATGGCAATGATCAAAAACACTAATGATAATAAATGCGAGAGAGGATGTGGGGAAAACGTCCATTCATATATTGCTGGTGGGAGTGTGAATTAGTACAACCATTCTGGAAAGCACTGTGGAGACTCCTCCAAACCCTAGGGATGGAACCACCATCCAACCCAGCTATCCCACTCCTCAGTATATACCCCAAAGAACTAACTAAACTCAGCCTATCACAGTGATACACCTATTTCAATGTTTATAGCAGCACGATTCCCAATAGTCAAATTGTGGAATCAACCCAGATGCCCATCAACAAATGAATGGGTCAAGAAATTGTGGCATATCTGCACAATGGAGATGGACTCAGCCATCTAAAGAAGAATGAAATCAGGGCATTTGCTGATAAATGGATGGCAATGGAGAAAATCATGCTACTACGTGAAATAAGCCAGACTCAGAAACCAAGAGCTGAATGATTTCTCTCATATGTAGAAGCTAGAGAAAAATGAGGGAAAGAAGGTGGCAGGAAAGGAGCTTGGATATCATAAAGATTTAGGAGAGATTGGTAGAGGAGGAGGAGAACAAGGAGGAGGGAGGGAGGAGGGGAAAGGGGTAGAAATACGGAATGAAATGAACAATCGCTTGTCGCCTACATATACAAATGTACCAGAAGAATTTCACCTGTTCATATATTCAGGAAATAATAACCAGAAATAAATAAATAAAGGAGTGAAAGGAAGATCAATAGAAAAGAGGAGGGGGGAGGAGGAAAGAGAAAGGTCAGGGAGGAGAGGGATTGAAATCAAATTCCTTGCATGTGTCATTTTGTCAAAATGAACCCAAATAACCATGTTTAATTATAATGCTATTAAAAATATAAATAAATAAATAAATAAGACAAATGCAAAGGTTCTAGAACCTTCGAGAAGTGGGAGACATTTGTAAGCTTCTCCATTCCCGGTGGCTATTCTGATTGGACCATTCCCACTGGAACAAATGAGAACATAATCATCTCTCTACTTACTGTGGTCACTCCTGTGCGAGGATGAGCTGTGTCGCAGTCCACGGCTTCCACGGTGAGGTTATATTGCTTCACAGACTCATAGTCCGGCTGTGTGGTGAGTTCGATCATTCCAGAGAGAGGGTGAATCCAAAATCTCTGGACCACCTGGATGTCTCCCTTGGATATCTTGTAGGTCAGACAGTTGGGTGGGTAGTCTTCATCAATGGCGGTCACTCTTCCAACTTTGTGGAAGGCTGCCAAGAATGTTGCAGAGGGTTCATTCTTCTTAGGCACAGGCCTTACCCTCAAAAGTTGAACCTGCCATTGATCTCCATGGATAGTTTCTCAATGTGAAACTGTCCATGGAGATAGTTTCATTGGATGTGAAATGTGTTTGAAGACTCCACCTCTACGTGATAGGAGGCACGTTTAGAGAGAGTCTGTGGCCACTTTAAATCATGTGGCATAAGTCAAATGATCTGAGTTTAAAAAATAGCATAATACTACTAAGCTTAGTTAATCTTAGTATTATGCTAAGATTAGCATCAGATACTGGTTCACAGAGTAGGCTCTTAAACCAGAAATCAGAGGTTCCAAATCTCAGCCCTGTCCCTTGGGAGTATAATTCATTGGCTACTTCTATAACCTCTCTGGACTTCATATTCTTCATTTTCAAATTAGGAATAACAACAGTTTCTTTCATACAGACTTGTCGTGAGGAATGAATGAGTTAAATAAAACCCTCAAGGTAGTGCCTGGTACACAGTAGTATACTAAATAATTAGATAATGATTCATACACATTCTCTCCTTGAATCTTCTCAACAGCTTGACAATATATATACTACTACTATCTCCATTTTACGGTTGCCACATAATCCTCCCTTCAGGACTGTAACTTGGTCCACGTGAAAGTTACTCTGGTGGTGACTGCACCTGTTCTTTTACTTTGAGAGCATGCTCAGGCTTGCTGGTTGAAAGACAAGGGAGGAATCCATGATCCCAATCACTCCCAGACAAAGCCAGGACAGACAACGCCAACTCTCACAATTTTGAGCAAGTCCCAGAACATGGGCTTATTGCTGTATTGCTCTCATTTTTGTGGAGTTTATTGTAGAGCACACTGGTGGTAATAGATTACAGTTAGACAGGGTTTACCTCCAATCACTTTCCATTTAAATCATAAACTCCAGAGCAGATACTTTGCATTCTCCAGTTAGTGAAATACCTCTGAACAGTGTTTGGCTAGCCCACGGATAGAAACGTAGGACATTTGGGCTGCTAATAATCAAGAATAAAGAATGTTAGACCCTGTCTCTAAATAAAATAGAAAAAAAGGGCTGTGGATGTGGCTCAGTGGTTCAGTGCCCCTGGGTTCAATCCTCAGTA